AACAAAACTCGCAAGTAATTGTTATTCCTCCTCCTAATTCATTTCCTTTTCATTTTTTGAACTTTACTATTGTAACACCCCAGTTTTCAAAAAGGTTATTATTATTATTATTATTATTATATGATATTTGATCATAATTATTTTAATAATTATAGAGGAATATTATTTTGTACGTTTTAAATAATTATTATTTTGGACAATTATTTTATATGTATTAAATAAGTATTTTTATTAGCATTTTTAAATAAATATTTATATGTTTTAAGAGAAGGTTGATTTTATATGATATTTTGTTATTAAAATTATATTATTATATTTTGAGTCAAAAATATATTATTATTATAGAGAAAAAATATTTTATAATATACATGTATTTATTTTATTTAATTATTTTTAGGAAAAAGAGAAGTGGGTTAGAAGAGAAGGAAAATGGGTTGGGTCGACCCAGTCTAATGGATTAATTTTAAGAAAATAGTCAAGTAGCGTTAACCCTATCTGCCTTATTTGCGTTCTGAAGGGTTAGGAAAAAAAAGAGGAGAAACAAAGAGTTTTAAGGAAGAGTACTCAGGAACGATCTTAGATCACACCAAAACCATTCGTCTTCTGCTCATCTAGGTAAGGGGGGAGTGAGAAACCTCGCTCGGGGTATGAAAATAATTGTTGGGTAGTCGGATTGGCCCCCAATCCCTTGCCTGATGCATGCTTCTAGGAACATGCAAAGTATGAATAATTCTATTTTGCCTTCTGATTGTTTTGTTGTGTTCCTTGTTGGATGTGATGCATGAGTATGTGGTTAATTTTGAAAATGAATATATTTTATATGAATTAGAGTGCTCTGTGGATTTCTATGGGAAACCCTATGAGAAAACGGGCAAAATACGAATGTTTTCTATTTTTCCTTTTGATTGTTCTGTTGTGTTCCTTGTTAGATGTGATGTATGAGTATGTGATTAATTTTAAAAATGAATATATTTTGATATGAATTAGAGTGCTCTATGGGTTCCTGTGCGAAACCCTGTGAAGAACAATTATGAGTATGACTATGTGAAATATTAACAAATAACATGATTCATGATGTGAATCAGAATGTGCTAATGTGAACACTATGACTATGAGGATGTGAAATGTGATGAGATGAGATAATCCATGACTATGAGAATGTGAAATGTGATAAGACATGAAATTCCATGACAAGTAAAGTGATGAGTCCATGAGGTTGTGAACGTGTGACATGCATCATGTGCATATATGAGCTAACCAGGTGTACCTTTTGGTCACCAAGTGATGTAACAAGCTAATCAGGTGTACCCTTTGATCACCAAGTGATGTAACAAGCTAACCAGGTGTACCTTTTGGTCACCACATGATGTAACAAGCTAATCAGGTGTACCTTTTGGTCACCAAGTGATGTAACAAGTGTACCTTGTGTCACCAAGTGATGTAACAAGTTAACAAGGTGTACCTTGAGTCACTAGTGATGAAATGATGAGAAATGTGATTATGAGACACGTGACTGGCGCCACATACATTTATGAGTTGAGTCCATGAGATCATTGCATGATGAATGACTGTGCATGTGTTACTGTTGTATGTATAATTTGAATTTGCACCTGAATATTGTGTAGCTAGGGCTGTGATTGTTATGATTCGTGTGTGTGTTGCCTAACTGTTATTTCTACACCTAGAATCGAGTGAGATGTTTCTCACTCCCTTGTTATTCTTTGTACATGTTTAAATTGTGTTGCAGATGATCATTAATTCGAGGATGTTGGTGATGATGCTTAAGCTTCAGTTGGACATGCTCTGATAGGATATGTGACATCGGGGCATAACTAGATTTAGTTTAGGATTCCTTATTGTTATTCTGTTTTGGAAAAGATTCATTTTGTTATAAATTCCGCATTTGACTATATTTGAAGTATACGAATGTGAATCCTCTACTCTTATGTTAATGGATTTATTGTTTTAATTATAAAGATTTTATTTAAACCAAGAATATGTTTCATATATATGTCGGGGTAGAGGGTGTCACAACTATCTTCTTTGTCTATGTAGCCTCTTCTATGTATTTAATATGCAATATTTTCAACACATTAGACATTATTATTTAAGTAGGTATTATTTTGATTTCACTATTTGACTTTCTTATTTAAAATTATCTATCTTTCTTATTTAAAACTATCAATAGAAAAGAATTATATAGGTCTAAAGGGACATAGAGGTCTATGTTTTATTTAAACTTGAAAATGATTATTATATATACCGTGTATTGCATGCTAAAATAATTGGTTTAAATTGTAACACAAAATTATTTTTAGTTTTTATAATTTATTTAAAAAATAATATTTTGTTTATAAATATTTATGATAAATAAAAATTGAATTAGATAAAAAATTAAAAAAATCCCTACAAAATTTATCGTCGAATAAGAGCTCTTAAAACACTTTCATGCAAAATAGCGGTTCATATTTAATGTATAGGAGTTATTGCATAAGTTAAAATACTAATTAATTCATAAATTAAGAAATGTTAAATTATACTTTTAGTCTTTTATCTTATTTTTTTATATTCATTTTAGTCCTTTATCTATTAAAATGTTCATTTTGGTTCTTTATATTTGAATTAATTTGATCCTTTTAAAATAATGATCATTTTCAATTCTACAACATGATTTTAAATCAATTTTTGACTACTTAAGAATTAAAAGTTGTAACATTAGATTCACCTGGGACAGATGCTTGTGGTATAATGCGGGGGCCATGGCTACCCCAAAAAAAATGTGAATATTTATATATATATTTTATTATTTTATTTTCTTATATTTTAAGTTATTAAAATAAAAATGAAATAATAAAAAAGATGCTAATAAAATTATAATTATGAAAACAAGCTTCCAGACATATTAAAATTATAATTACAATTTTTAATATAAAATTCTTTTATAAATTAAAACTTTTTATATTAATTAACAAAAAAAACTCTTCCAATCCCATTGAACTATTGCGAACAATTATACTTCCACAATCTGTAATTATGTGCATTGCATCCACACTTTACTCTAAGTAAGCAAACGCTAGTGTGCTAGCCCCTTGAATGTGAAAGCGAGGAAATTAACCACGTCTCTTTCATTTTGCAGTTGCTTGGTCCACGTAAGTCGTAACTATGTTTATTTTTGAATCCCACATTTTGACATTCGGACATTTCACCAGGTCACCACGAGTCCACGATAGTCAATGAGTCACAAATCGGCAATTTTGCAATTCAACAGTTCGTCAGTTCCACAGTTTAGCAATTCGCTAGTTTTGCAGTTCAATAGTTTCGCAATTCGGTAATTATACACTTGAGAGATTCATTTATTCATTTTGATGAATTATTTTGTTATTTCTCTGTGTTACTCTTAGAGTCTTAGTTGGAGATTTATAATGGCTACTAGTCAAACTTTTTTTTTTAAACTTTTTTCTATTTATAAATTATAATTATTTTATTTATTTTTAGTTCCAAATTTCCAATAACATATTATGTATGCATTCTGTACCAACCTGGCTCAAGACCGAGCTCAACCGAGTTCATTAAACATCTTGACCGAGCTCAACCGAGTTCATAAAACAACCTTGACCGAGATGACCACCTAGTCTAGTTCGACTAAAGTAAATATATCTAATGCTGAGGTGCCACATCAGAAGAATGAGATCGGTGATACACCTCGACATATCAACAACATCGAACACGACTCAACCAAAGAGAACCCTCAGAAAATAACCATATAGCAGTTCACACGGTTACTCGAAAAACCCACGATAGGTAATGATATAAGCAATACGCGATATTGGATACACAACTGACTTGATCTTTGGAATCCCTTTTACAGGTACCTCGAAGACGCTCAGATGAGGAGATCAGAGAGAGAAGAGACACACCCCAGCGACCGCTTTCGTACGATCCCGGCCAGGAACAGAACCAGGGAAACTACTTATCCGAGTTAGGAGTCCAACCTGATTCGTGTAAGTACACATTCTATTTCTATATTGATAAATGATAAATTGTCCCTTTATTTATTGAAAATTTGAAAGCACTTTTGGCTTGTAGAGTTGTAGTTTACTTTATCATTTTACTTTGCATATATTTAAATTGTATAATGTGGTGAAAAAATATAGATTGTTAATTTATTAGAGAAAATGTGATTCTTACTTGAGTTACTTTACTAATTGTTGCTATAAGGTATTGTTTTGCAATTGTTTTTAAAAAACTAATTAGTTCATTCATATGTTTCATTGTTTTCTTTTTATAGGTACGAGTAAAATGAAAACAATTGACAGTTTATCAATTGTTAGTTTAAATTTATGAATTTAAAAATATATTTACATGTAATTCGGTCTCCTCATAAAAATTAAACTAATTACGTCATTAGATTCACTTATATATAAATAATAAAATGTAATTGAGATTTAGATCTAAAAATACTATAAATATAGTAAAAATTATGTGAAAAATATATCTCATAAATTTCTAGAAAATAATATGAATTTAGATTGTTATGAAAATTTCAATTTTTACTATATTTATAATTTTGTTTGAACTTTAATGACATCTAATAATTTTAATATAAGTGAATTCCATGACACAAATTTTAAAATTTAAATCATTAAGAAAAGATTAAGACTAAAATGACCTAAATTTAAGAAATAGTTCAATATAAATATTTTAAAAGATAAAGAATCAAAATAAATATTAAAAAAAAAGGAAAAAATAAATTTAATCATTAAAAAATATTAATTAAGTTCTTAAAATATTAAATAATTTCTTAAATATAACTATTTATTATTATTTTAATGTTTCACTGTATATTAATATTATCAGTTTAATTATATATATATATATATATATATATTTTTTTTTTTTCTTAAATTTTGATTTTTGAACCAATCTAATTGTTATTTTACATTTTTAAGATATATATTTTTTAATTTCTTTCAATTTATGAATTATTTTGACAATGTGACCCTATGTTTCCCTTTTTCTGGGTCTGTTGGCGGAAACTCGCAGGTTGCAATTAGGAAAAGAACAGTAACACTGCGGTCGCAAAAGAGACTGAAACGCCGTCGTAGACATCCCCGAGCTCTGATTATGGAAGAAATAGTAAACCAACAAAAACACGAACAAGAAGAAGAAGAAGAAGAAGAAATCGTTTGCTTAGACGCATCGTTCTTCGTCGATGACAAGTAACTCCACCTCTTATCTTTCTCTCTCCACCTGGTTCTTAATTTCACCATTCTCATGATTTTTTTTTTCGAATTTGAAGTTACCAGCTGACGAAATTCACGTTTGGTTCGCAAGAGATGCAACTCTTCTGTCTGCATTCTGCTTCCAGTGAGTATTTTTTATTTTTTATTTTTATTTTTATAACTTTTATTTAATTTTTTAGGTTTTAAAAAATGAGACGTGCTTTGTTATGGGTTCTAGTTCTACCTTTTTTTTTTTTTTTTTTTTTTTTTTTTTTTTTTTTTTTTTTTTTTTTTTTTTTTTTTTTTTTTTTTTTTTTTTTTTTTTTTTTTTTTTTTTTTTTTTTTTTTTTTTTTTTTCTTTTTCTTTTGTGGAGCAAGTGTTTGATTAAAAGTTGTGTTTTTAAATTTTTATATTTGATTAGTAAATAAGAGTAGAATCATGTTAAAGGGACTTGCATTCAATGTTATCATTTTTTATGAAATCCTAATTGTGGTGCTAGGGTCTGTTTCTCATTCTTAATGGCCATTTAACAGGGTTAATAAACCAAAAATGGTTATGGAAAGTAAATCGAAAGGTAAAGAAAAAATAACCAAAACTTCTTGTTGAAAAGAGGAGTTTTGAGAGAAATTGTGTGTATCTGTTTTAGGCTGCAAATCGTGTCTTATTTACATTGCAAATGATTACAATCATAATCTATCAGTGAATAATTAGGAAGTACCCCGTAGCTTAATTATGCCTAATTACTTGCAAACAATATGGAAGCATTGCGGTTATAGTTGAGCTGATTATGCATATTCACAAATAGGGAATGAAATCCATTATTAGGGGTTGAGACCCACATCAATATTGAGTTTCCCATGAATTTGAGTATTTCATTCAACTACTGATAGTGCATTGGAAACAGAGTTACTAACATTCTTTTCTTAAATATGTATACTCTAACACCAATGTTGTTCAATTTTTGCACATATTCATATTATGGGCATTTATTTTGTTTGGGGGTTATATTGGCTTGTATGTGTAATTACATTTACTGACTTTAGTAACTTGGAAATTATAGTAGTTAAAATGACAATGCTAACCATTTGCTGTATTGATTCCTCTCAAAGGAACTTGCGTAGAAACAATTCGTTGCTGTACTGATTCCAAGCTGATGAGGCCAAAATTCATAAATTTCATAGAATAAGAGAGGACTCCTATAGAAACATCCTACTGGATTAATATGATTGATAAAAGATGATAAATGAATTATATATGCTCCTATTTATAGATCTTATTAGACTAACTATGTGTAACTACTTGATAAACTAACTAATCAAATCATATACTCTAATAAAACTTCAATGTGATTTGAGTTTTATACATGACTATATGTCTTGTTGCTAAGTTTAAATATTTGGTAATCTCAATTTAATATTTTATCCACCCAGTTATTTGCTAAAGCTATTATTCACATTACAGGCCTAGGCTGTGAATGAAAATTGATTCTATGTAATCTTTCAATGGAAGACAAATAAATTGGGACTTGTTTTTGTTCTGCTGGAAAATTCCTTTCGATCTTAAATCATACTAGACAGGCTTGGCAGAGCCCAAATCTAACTGGTCTATGGTTCTGATTTTTAATTCATTAAATTAAAGTTTACACATATTTTTAGTCCTTGCAAATATGATGTATTTTGATTTTAATCCTTTGAAAACTTTTTGGTTGGTTTTGGTTCTCATATTTTTTTAAAATGGTCCCCATCATCGTCTAGTGATAAAATGGTATTTATCTAGACATGCCAAGTTAGCAACCATTTTGAGATGGCATGTGACTTGGTAGTCTAGATGCATGCCATGTGATCAATAAATTGTGATAAAAAAACCACTTTCAAAACTTTGAAACTTATGAGGATCAAATAATATAGCAAAATAAATAGTAAAAACCAAAATTCATATTTGCAAGGACTAACAAACATATTTGTTGTGATTCAGGAATTGTGTGTATTGTTGTACACACACCAATCTTATTTATAGAGTGAATACAATAAATGATAGAGATACTAATCTCTTATATTATGGAAACTAATCTAATCATATCCCTAATTGATAGTGAGGATAATAACCATAATATATGTATCCACAATATCTGTAATATATTCACAATATCTGTAACACTCCCCCTCAAGCTGGAGCATATATATCATATGCACCAAGCTTGTTACAAATATAATCAACCCGAGGCCCTTTAAGAGATTTTGTGAACACATCTGCTAACTGGTTACTAGAGTGGACAAATTCAGTGGTGATTTCTCCTGAGAGCACTTTCTCTCTTACAAAATGACAATCTATTTCTATGTGTTTAGTCCGCTCATGGAAGACTGGATTGGAGGCAATGTGGAGAGCAGCTTCATTATCACAGATGAGTTTAGTTCCCTGAGTGTCTCCAATTTGAAGTTGCTTGAGAAGTTGTTGTAGCCATGTAACTTCACTTGCAGCTGCTG